GTAAAAGGTTAACCGCCACTCGGGTAACATTTTATGTTTTTTTGTTTGTTGTTTGTTGTTTCTTTTTTTTTCGTCTCTCGCCCTCCGTTGCGTGACTTGCTACTTTTGCTTCTTCTTTTTTGTCATTCTTGTTTTTCTTCTTATTTGCCCGACGCTCGCGGTTCGCCTCCTTCACGGACTTGTGATACTCCTTCCGTTCCTCCTTCGTCATGCCGGCGATCGTACGGGGCGGTGGCCGCGGCGGCGTCCCCTGCGCGTCCCCGCCGCCGCTACTCGCGTCGCTCCCCGCCTCATCGTCCTCCTCCTCCTCCTCCTCGTCGTCGTCGTCGGGCTCCTCCTGCGCGGCGGGGGACGCCGTCAGCTCGGCGACGAACGGGGCGAGCTCCGCGTTCACCGCCTTGTGCTCCGCGACCTCGCCGAGCGTGCGCGGGACGGTGATGTTCAGGAAAACCTGCTCGTCCACCTCCGCCTGCTCCGCGCTCCCAGACGCGGCGGCGCCCGCGCGGAGCTCGAGCAGGTGCTGCCGGATCTCCTCCGCGTTGTCGGGGCCGTCGCAGCGCTGCCAGCCGCCCGGGGCGGGGGCGGCGGTGATGAAGCGGAACAACTCCTGCGGGGGGAAGAGCTGCTGGTGGCCCTTGGAGCGAAAGAAGGTGTTCACGTTCACGATATCGCGCCGCAAAAAGTCCATCGCGTGCGGGTGGTCGCACTCCACGGACTGCGAGACGTCAATCACGACCACGCGGCCCCTATAAAAGAGCAGGTTGTACTCCGAGAGATCGCCGTGGACTAGTCGGCAGCGGCCGTACATCTTCCGCAAGGCGCAGCAGACGTCCAAATAACATCGGTCGAGGGCGCTGGCGGACGGGAAGCGGACTTCCTTCAGCCGCGGCGCCGGCCAGCCGTCCTCGCCGAGGAACTCCATGATGAGCACGTGCTGGCGCAGCAGCTTCACCGCGGGCGCCAGCACCCCGCCGTCCTGCAGGCGATTTAAGTTCCGTGCCTCCTTCTCCGCCCAGGTCCGCACCATCTTCCGCGGGTTGCTCTTGCAGTAGCGCTGGAAACGAAACTCCCCGGCAACGTACTTCTCGCGGTCCTTAAACACAAGAATCGAGGTCTTGAACACCTTCACCGCCGCGGCACTTCCGTCTCCCGCGACGGCGTAGTACACATTGGCCTCCTTGCCCGTGGAGACGCAGCCGTTGATCTCCTTCAGCTGCCCACTGTTGACGAGCTTGTAGAGGATGAGGCGGGTCCGGGGGTCCATGACGTTCTCCACCGTCGCACGCTCCGACCGGTCCACCTCCCTCGAGGACTGCATCGTCGTCAGGCGGTTGGACATCGTCATCTCCCGAAGTTCGTTTAGAACCCGCTGATTCGCCGCGCTCGCTCCCCCGCCCCCGCCCGCAAAAGAAGAGACATCCGCGTAGAAATCATCCACGCGTATGCGACGCAGAACACTCGCGTGGGCAGTGGTGTGCTGCGACGGCTGCATTTTGCTCAGCGACGTCGCCTCCCGCTGTGCATTGCTGCCAGGCGCAGCCCCCATCACCACACGCGACGTCGTCGCGTGCTTCCCCTGCACAATGTCGTACGTCGACGCCTCGTCACCGCTATCGCCGTCGCCAACGATGTCGTCAACGGTGCTGCCGGGCGCCATGTACTGCAGGAGCGCCTGCAACTCCTCCGCCCGCGAAGGCATCAATGCGTGGCGTGCTCAGCCACCCGCCAACTTTTTCTTTTTAAGACACCACCGGACAACACGTTGCGCTGCAGTACGCCAGCAGCACGGGGCACGAAGCATGCCGGCACAAATGCAAAGAGAGGAGGCGATGGGGAACAAAATAAAGAGGTTCCATGGCAGACACAACACACGCACGCACACGCAGCCAGTGGAACGGAGAGAAAAAAAAGTGTTAGGGGCCGCGAGGGGCAACGGCCGCGGGGCGGAAGGTGGTCCACGTCAAGAAACAAAAGACAAACCAAAAAAAAAAGAGATTCCACGGGAGCGCACAAGTCCACAACCACGAAAATAAAAACAAAAAATTATTCCACGGCTGCAATAAACAAAACAAAACAAAAACAAAACAAACTCCTCTGCGTCTTTGCCGCAGCTCGCCGCGGGAACGGGGGGCCGCGCGTCGTCCCGCCCATGCCCCGTCCCTTTGCGCGCCTTCGCCGCGTTGCCTGAGGGACTGTGTGGCGGGGGAAGAGAGCCCAACGGAGAGCCGCGCGAGGCGGGAAAAGCGCGTGGCGAAAATCAACACTCGCCACGACGCCCCGCCTAACAATTAAAAAAAAACGATGGAACAATTGGCGGAACAGGCAAAACACCAGCGGCAACGAAGGAAATATTAAAAAACAACAAAGAAATGAAAGAGGGGAAGTGAAGAGACAAAGTAATATTCTTCGGCTCCCCGGGCTCTGGGGGCCACGGGGGGCGCCGCTGTTGCTGCCGTCCTGTTTTTTTTTTTTTGCCTCCCCGCAGGGGGCCCACGCCGCCGCCAAGGGAGAGAAGACGCCCGCCGCCCGCACGCCTCACAGCGCGGACCGTCGGTACGCATACGTCTGCGCAAAGCGCTTCTGCAGCCAGTCAGAGGCCTTGACGGGCTGGGTACCTGGCGGGGTTTGCCGCGGAGTGGCAGTTGCCGAGGCACGAGATCACCACGTCGGGGTTGGGCTCGCAGAAGAACGGCATGGAGATGCGGTCGGTGCCGGGGTTGACGACGCGGTGCGGGGTGGAGCGGTAGCGGTTGTTGCTCCACATCTGCATCATGTCCCCGACGTTCACCACGAAGCTGCCCTCCAGCGGCGGGGCGTCGATCCAGCCGCCGGACAAGCCACGCACCTGCAAGCCCCCATTCGTGTCCTGGTAGAGCAGCGTCAGGACGCCGTAGTCCGTGTGCTCGCCGCACACCAACCGTGTGCCTCTTCCCTCCTGCAGGGCAGGGTAATGGATCATGCGGAACACGCTCAGCGGCTCCACAAAGCGGGAGGCGAAGAACTCCGCGTCGATCCCAATCGCCAGCGCAAGGGCACGCAGGAGACCGAGGGCGAACTGATGCATGTCGCGGTAGTGCCTCTCCATCAGCTCCCGCCAGCCCTTGAGCTGTGCGGGGTGCCGATTCGGCCCGCGCAGGGGCTTGCCTGCGACGACGTCAGGGTGATCCTCCGGCAGGTGGCAGCCCATGTCAAACGTTTCCTTGTAATCCTGCGGCGCCGCGGGATCCAGCTGCTCCGCAAGCACCTCGCCATACCCGCGGTGGTGCCGGCTCTTCTTGATATCAATCTCGAGCTTTTCCTCCAGCGGAAGCGAGAAGAAGCTGTTCGCCATCCGGGTCAGTTCCTGGAACCGCTCACGTGGGATGGGGTGCCCCACCACGTAGAAGAAGCCCCACGTGCGGCACGCCTCGTCGATCTTCGCGGCGACCTCCGCCACGCCGCCGCCGCCGCCAAAGAGCGGGGAGACGTCAATGACGGGAAGAGCAGCTGCCGCCATGGGCGAAGCGTGACTGGTGTGCCTGGGTATGGTCGCCTGCGCTGCCGCAGACGCCGTGGCTAAGCTCTCCCGCCCGCGTGCACCCGTGCGTGGGCAGCAGCGCCGATGAGGAGACGGAGAGGGAAGGCGAAGGAGCATCAGAGAAACACCCACACGCACACACACATCAGCCGTCGGAGACGTGAACCGGGCGCAGGCACCCAAAACACACAAGCGCAAGCAAAGAAATTAAACAAACAATAAACCCGTGAAGTGAAGCCGAAGCGTGGGGGCGCGTCCACCGAGCAGTGGGGACGCGCAGCAACAAATGGGACGACCAGCACACACACACTCACTCTCCGTTCCCGCACAGCCCAGTCCAGGAAGAGAGAAAAGAGAGGTCGACCACTGAAAGCAATGAAAACAAACAAAATACGAAGATGAACACAGTTACGGTGCTGTGCCCATGCGGCCAAGCAAGACGGCAGCGGCCCATCAGGGGGCAAAAACAAAAAGAAAGCTGACGGGCCTGCATGAGTGGAGGTGTGCATATATATTTAGGTGAAGCCAATATTCATCTCTTTCCAAACAGTTTCTATGCCCCCCACAATTTCCACGCAAAGCAAGTCCGCCCAACACACACATATCGGTTTT